AAGTACTTGTACTTCGTTACTTCCCACCACTGTCTGGACCTAATCAGGGCCGGTTGGTTCTGAAAACCAGCCTGCAGATTTAAAGTGATTACAGAAATGAGCCACTAGAGGGAGACATTTATCCTCTTTAAGGTTTAACATGTTTTTTAAATACATTTTTTTCATATTTTGAAGCTTTTATGCTGAACCAGAGAGGTTGTAACAGAAGAAACGTGTTTATTAGTTTGAACATGAAACATATAATTATAATCTCACTGTATTTAGTACTTTCAGGTTGTCTGATCTGGTCTTCATTGATTTAAACCCACTCATTTATTGCTAATTTAAGTTCTGTTGTAATTAACAGAATAATTTCTTGTCCTTCATGTTGTTGACAGCCGATCCCAGGCCAGGAAGAACAACCGCCTCTAATTGCTCTCACCCCTCCTGTCGCTCCTCTGGGATTCACTGAGCGTCTCTTCATCATTTTCACCTGCAGGGAGGAAATCTGAGCCTGGCTCTCCTCACAGAAGCCTCTTGCCATCTGAATCTCTCCTGAGAGTAGCTATTGTGCACAAACGTGTCCAGTTGTGATTAAGGTTTGTAAGGACGCGTTGAATCAATGGGATGTGAGAGGGAGTGGGCCGAGCGGCTGCGGCTGGAGAGAGACGATCAGTCCTCATCTTCACTTCCTCTCCAGCAGCAGGAGCCGAATGGATGCATTAATAACACTTCCCATCTCTGAGGGAGATAATGGGGCCTTGAGTGCTGATTAAGGCTGGAGGATCGGGGCGTGGACGAGGAGTTTTAGTTTCAGCGTCCCTGTGGACTTTCATGGAGCTGTAGTGGTGCTTAAGGCGAAGCTTTCTGGCTTCTCCTCATCCTCAGCTCCTCTAAACACCATTAGCGTTCAGATGCTCTCGGCGCTGAACGCCATTTTAATTTGAGGGCCTGGATGATGCATCTGAGCTGCTCTTCTTCCAGGACGGAGGATTAAACAACATCCAACCGCAGGGATGTTAAAGACACGACCTGCAGCAGTTTGAGTTTGTTGAGGTTTTTTCTGATCCAGACAGGCAGAATCACGGCTCCTAAATAATGAAGCTTCTGGATAAGACGTCAAGAAATACCTCAAAAATAAAGATAAAACTAATTATCCACAAAACAATAAAGAGTAAAATATGAATGAGGTCACCTCATTAGCTATTAAATATGCAAATTTACCAGAACACTGCAAAAACACAAAGTCATGAGAATGATTTTTGTCTAGTTTCTAGTTCAAATATCTTATTACACTTAAGATTAAAACTCACTAACAAGAAACAGGAGCTTGTTTGACGTCTATAATTCCTTAAATAATCTGAGACAAAACATTTTTCACACATTTTAAGTTATAATATCAATCATAACATTGTCACCTTCCTAAAACAACAACCTAAATCAAAGATGATTTAGTTTGAAAAACAGTCACTTTCATGGGTCTTGGGATATTATTCTGAGTTATAATCTGGGAGGAACGTTTCATTCCACGGCAGATTATTTCACTAACTTTCCATCAACAGGTAACTATTGAACAAGCTTCTTTATCAGTTTAGTCTCATTTTAAATGTTCTTAGACATTTACAGTGAAAAACTCGATGTTTTGCAGTGTAGGTGGAGCTGATGGAAAAGCTTCCTGCGGTTTGTTGTTTCTAAAATTATCTCAGCGAAGCGAGCAGCAGATCCAGTCCGGCTGGTTTGGGTCACAAAGAAACACACACCCGTCATTTCAAAGCACTTTTAGTTCAGAATATCGTCCTTCATACATAAATGTGCAACGACTTGCTGAAATTTAAACCCAAACTGACAACATGTGGATCAGAAACACAACCAGGCTCAGTTCTGTAAAGCGTCCAGCTGATAACAAGAACCACAGTCAGAATCATGGAGGTCCAGTTGGACGGGAAGCTGGTTCTGGTTCCTGGTCCAGAAACAAGAGTTCAGGTTGAATCCCATTTCCTTCAGTCAGCCTCCAGAGAGACCAATCCTGATTTCCAGGCTGCTTCATGTGGATCCATCCATTCTCTCCTCATGTTGACGCCTCAGACCGGATCCGCCCTGATTGGACCTGATCCGACCTGATCTGACCTGATTGGACCTGATCCGACCTGATCTGACCCGATCTGACCCGATCTGCCCTCATCCAGGCCGAGGAGGTCACAGGATGTCCGGCTTTCGGAGGTTGAGCTCCTCCTCAGAGACGGTCAGATTCCCCAGGTACCAGAATATCCACAGAATCAGGCTGAGGAAGATGAGCAGCGGCCCGGACAGGACGAAGAAGTCCCAGTAGGGCAGCGGAGCGAAGATGCCGATGAGGAGCAGCAGGAGGCCGACCACGTCCAGGAAGATGGCCAGGCCGATGAAGAAGGTGGTGCACTTTCCCTCCTCCATGTTTGGGCCGGCGGCGCCGGTGCGGATGGCTGGCTGTCTGCTGGTGGAGTGACGCGGCCCGGAGCCGGTCGCTCCAGAAAACTGCTGTTCCGGTCTGAAGCATCATTGTTATTCACTGAAAGCACGCCTTACATTTCTGTCATAGCTGAGTGTCAGTGGCAGGACCGGTACCGGATGGACGGGCCGTTCCTCCAGCTGACGGCCCGGTTTCTCCCTGCATGCCTGACTCTGCATCTCAGCCAGAAACCTGATGGCAATCAGAACCTCTGACATGAAAACCCAGCTGGTTGGTCAAACGGCATCTTTGCAAAGTGAATTTTACTGATTTGAGATTTTGTAACAGTTCTTGGACATCATGGAAAGTTCACACCTCGTTTGACCTCTGACCCTCCTGACTAGCAGGAAGTAGTGCGTCAGGGACACGGAGGTTTATAAGAACGGGTCGGCTCTGGTTAAAGGAAGCTGGAAGTTTCTGGTCTTTGTGTGACTGTGTGGTTTCCTCCAGGTGGGGTCGTTTGTCTCCGTTTCAGAGTCAGGAGGCGTTCGAGGCGCTGAGGAGGATTTTAATACCACAACAAACAAAAGCTCACCAAGAAGTCAAACCAGTCTGACCAGAGCCCAACAGGAAGCATGACTGGGCTTTTCTGTCGCTGAGCAGAAACACGAAACAAAAACAGGTGAAACTTCCTGACACTTCCTCCAGCTGGAGAACAAATCCTCAGAGTTTATGAGAAACTTTATACGACTGAAATCAGATTAAAGTTGCGTTTTGTGCGTTTAGTGAATCAGTGTGTACTTTCAACAATCAGTTATCAGAAAACAAAACAAAGATATGAACAGAACAACAATTTCACTTCAAATAAACTGAAATATCACAGCTGATGAATCCTCTGTTTGAACAGAATAATCCAGAATTATACATAGCCCTGACAGATTTAGATTTAATGTTTGTCAACCAAGAAATGTCTGATCTAAAATATAATAAAACAAAATAATGGATATTAATTTAGAATATGCTCTGCTCTTATATACAATTGAATAATCAGTTTGCAGGAATCAGAACATTTTTTAGCTTCATTTCTTCACTGGTTTTCAGATGAGCTCCGGACTCTGAACCATCACCCTAATCTTTACCTGCAGCGATGCACCTCAGCTGATTTCACAGCTACATTAATAAATCTGTTATAATATGAATGATAAAAGGCTCTACTGGATCAGTTGAACTTTTATAGGCTAAAAGCGGATCACATATTGATTATTTTCTAATAAATAATCAGAATCACTAACCCTAGTTAAAACATTAACAAACTTGAAATAATTATTGCAGATTGTTTTTGAAATGAGACAGTAGTGAAAGCTGGACCTTCAGTCCTGGATTTAACTTCTAAACCTGAAAGTTTTTGCAGATTTCAACATTTGGACCGACAGGAAGCGGCTGGATGCGAACCGAGCCGGTCAGTCCACGGACTGCTCCCCGTCAGCGCCGTCCGTGGAGCCGTCGTAGCCCTCGTTCACGTACACCGTGGATTTGCCCCACGTCACCTTGCCCGGTTTCATCGGAGGAGTCCCCGCATGGCTGCGGTCCTCGTCCTCCACCACGCACTTCACGCAGTCCTCCCCTTTCAGCTTCAGGCTCAGCCTCTCCGAGATCTTCCTGGCCAGCAGCGCGATGCTGTTCCTCTGCCCGTCGTACTCCGACACCCGGATGTTGCCCACGTACCACATGAGCCAGCAGGCCAGGCTGGCGAAGATGATGAGGGAGCCCGAGTAGATCAAGAAGTCTCCGTAGAAGAGGCCGTCGATGCGCAGGTCGCCGAAGATCCCGACGAACAGCAGAACCAGGCCCAGGATGTCAAAGGTGACGGCGAGCAGGAAGAAGGGCAGGCAGGTCCCGATGTGCCGGAGGAGAGCCATGCTGGGCGCTTCGGAGCGGGCTGAGGCTTTGCTCTGGCCGGGATCCTTCATCCTTTGTATAGCGGAGCAGGTCGGGACCGCGCACCAGCAGAGAAACGCCCCACCTGAAAACAAACAGCTTCACCCGCACGGAGCGCAGTTTGCTGAGGGCAGAGCGGCACTGCGGGCATCTGGACCAACAATCACACGATTGGCTCCAGGCGGACAAATTAACATATTATTTGCTTGTCAAATATTCAGCAGGAGGGAAACACCTTTTACTGCAGGTCTTCACCAAGAGGCCAAAAAGTCAGGAGCTGCTGCAGCTGGAGCTGCTGCTGCTGCAGCAGGCCCAGATCTCACCTGAGGACGAGCTAGTTCTAGTTCTAGTTCTTAAAATGTGACTGATTTGGAATAAAAATGTCATTTCTGTGAAATTATGTTCATTCTGTAAAAGAAACAATAACTTTACGGCTTTTTGATCAACTTTCTGTTCTTGTCTGTATTTTGCGACTGTTCATTAGAGCAGATAGAAACGTCGGTCAAAAGACTCAGAAACTCTGAAATTTAGTTTAAGGAAAAACTCGGAACTTGGATTTTTTTTTTAGAAATGTTGAAATTAAACTCAGGAATTAAAAAAACTAAACTAAACAAAGACATTTCTAAGCTTGAATAATCGAAGTTTTGCTAGAAAAAGAATTTGCAGTTTATTTTCTAGAGAAAACAAGGAAACTTCTGAGTTTGAATAGTTGATCATTTACAAGGAAAATTTCTGAAATTTTCTAGAAAACAATTTAGGGTCAATAGTCAAAATGTCTTTTACTTTTGAAACTTAAAAATCTTCCGTTTTTCTTCTAATACATTTCTTAGATTAATGTGAGTTTTTGGCAGAAGTTTATTCCTGTTTTTCTCCCATCATAATGTTTACCTGTAAACATTTATGAACATAAAAGATTTAAGGTTCTGGACGGTTCTCCTGGATTTTTCTGGTCAGAATCGTTTTGTCCATTTTGCTCTGCTACGCTAACTTGAGAAGCAAGAAAAAATTAAGATGGAAAATAACATTTCAGAAAATTATTTTAGCTTATGTTTAAAAATAAAAATTAAAAAAGATTACATTTCAGGATAAAATTATCAAAAAGTATACAATTTTTTTTTAAAGTTTAGCATTTTTTCTTAACTTCTATTCAGAGTCCCACCTAGCGCCTCCTGGTGGCCCCCCAGCGGGACGCAGACCCTACTTTGAGAAACTGGTTTTTTCTCCTTCATGCAGCCAGGCAGGTTCTGTTTTCCTGGATCTACGGTCAGAAGCTGCCCAGCCTGTTTGTGGCTTATGAAGTTGAGCTCAGTTTTATTTTATAATGTAAAAATTTTTTTTTTCATAGATTAGCTTGCAGAGATTTTTCTGAACATTTTCTTAAAACTGTATTTACTCCGATTATGTTGACAGTAAAAGCCTAGAAAATCCAAACCAGACGTGTCTGTCAGTGAATGTGTAAAATGGTGAGTTAGCTCATGATTAGCCACGCTGCAGGCTGAGGAAAGGTGAACCTAGATTTGCATTTAATTTCTTAGGAAAATTTAAGATGAGCTGCTTGGTGACTGCGTGCGTCATTCAGTGAGTCTTTGAGAATAAATAAATCATAACCTGTGGTTATCACAGAGGATGAAATGGAGACGTGGAGGAAACGGTGAGGTTGGGGTTCAACTCTGTCATTTCTGATGAAACTTGTTGATTTCTCTTCCCAGATTTCCCAGGAATAAAGTTTGATCCGCTGATTGTTGCTACAGGATTCCCAGGTCTATTATTATTAATTAATTCTTAAACATGAATTATTTTCAGCACGCAGCCTGTTGATTTAACACTGAATCCTCCTGCAGCTGAATCTGGGCCTGCAGGTGTTTCTGAATGTTTTTCTTGTCATTTTCTATTTTAAATCTTTTTTGAATCTTGTTCCTTCGAGTCGTTCCAGTCAAACTCGGATCATTTGCATCCTTCCTGGCAGAAACCATTTCCATTCCTTCCTCTGCTGCACAGCGAGCTGCTTACTGGAAGCAACAGACAATAAATGGAAGTGATAATTATAAACCCTTGTAACTTCCCTTCTCTCACATGAATATTTAAAATCTCTTTGCTCGCTCTCATCTGTGCTAAAACCTTGTAAATGTGTGAATAATTGCCCTTTGACCCCACACCAGGCTCCATACCAGGAGCAGCTCGTAAAGTTATACTGAAAAAAATTAACAGCAAAATTTGGTTTTATTTAGTCTGTCACAGAGAAAAACATGAGAGTATTCATTTTTCAAAGTCATATTTTCAACTTGTTATTCACACATTTATAAATGTCAGAACTAAACTAAATATTTCATTCACAAGGTAAATATTTAGCTTGCAAATTCAATATTTAGTCTGGAACTAAAGATTTATTTTGCCAACAAAATGTTTAGTTTATTTTGCAAACTAAACATTTAGTTTGCAAAATAAACTAAAAGTGTTAGTTTGAAACTAAATGTTAATATGTTAATAAATATTTAATTTGTGGCTAAATATTTAGCTTACAAACTAAGCATTTAGTCTGGAACTAAATCTCTGTTAGCTTCATATTTAGTAAACTAAATATTTACTTTGGGATTCTGACATTTATAAATGTAACACGACAGACTAAGTCAACTTAACATTGCCGTTAATGTTTTACAGTGTAACTCTCCACCCGGCCCCCCGCTGCTCCAGCCGCCGTCATGCACAGCCGGGGCAGCGGCCGGTCCGCTGACGGGCGGTGAACAGAAATGGCTCCATGCTGCTTCATAAATATTTCCTGGATTTCATCCCATGCTGAAACCCCCGATGACGTCACACGTCGACGACCGGAGGCTTGTAGTAGCTGAGGGGCCTCCGCATGTGGGAGCGCTTCCTGTTCTTCTTGGTGATGGGGATGAGCACCACCCCCACCACCAGCACCATCAGCCCGATGGACAGCAGGGCCGGGCCCAGCAGGGCGGTGGGCCGCCCGCACTGGCCGGCGAAGCACAGGCCGCTGATGATGATGCCGCAGGCCAGGAAGCTGCCCCCGGTGGACATGAAGTGAATGGGGAACCAGAAGACGTCGCATATTTTGGGCGGCGGCTCCGTGGTCCAGAGCGACTCGCTGCGGGACAGAGAGAAGACGGTGCTGGCTGCGTGGCTGGGCGGGGTGAGCCGGTCCTGGGACTGGGAGAGGGAGCACTCCCCCAGGGGGATGTTCTCTGGGCTGCCCGCCATGACCTCCAGGGCTCTGGGGGGAGAAGATCAATCTGTGAGCAGAAATATGGCTGATCCTGCACCAGGAGATGATTAACATGATCATAGGTTATTCTGAGTCTTCCTACATTCATTGCTGATATTTTATTTATTCATTTATTTTTGGTCTCTATCACCTTTGTGGACTAAATGCATATGAACATATTGATTTTAATAAATGTTTATGACAGCTGCACTGTTTTTCAGTTACATGAACAGAAATAGGAAGATTTGATTTTAATAAAGATAAAACATCAACAGATCATGTCTCACCGACAGAAACATAAACTTTACATTTTACATCTTTAAAGAATTTGAATTCTGTTAAATAATTATCTGAACTTTTACTTTTTAATTTATTTCAAATAATTTCTGAATAAATTTTAAAGTTTGCTTTATGGATTATCAGGATTGACTTGATGAACATTCTGACTGCAGGATCATTAAAAACTCGACCACAAATAAACATTATTCATCTAAGCAGCCTTTATAGACTAAATCTCTAAACCTTTTCATCAGCCCTGTTTTTGTTCTTTAGTTTCTGATTCATGAAGTAAAACTGAAAATAAAACTGCTGACTCACTTTGATCCTGAAAAATAAAATCCGTCTTCATCTTTAGCTTTCGACACCTAAAGGTTCTGGGTCACAGCTGGACTGTAATCAGAACTATTCAGAACTTCATCCTCCTTATTAGAAACCCAGGTCCAGCTGAATAGAAGTGACCCCAGGATGATACTGCCACTACCGTGCCTCTCTGTTAAAGGCGTCCTTTCAGTGAGGCTCTGTGTCGTCTTGAACTTGTGTCCCAGATTTTCGCGTTTGGTTTCAGCAGATCAGAATCTTGTTGAAATTTGAGAAGATTTTCCAGCAGATCTGGATGATGTCTGAGGAATAAATTTCTAAATAATACGTGGATTGAATTCCTCCGGCTCCTGTGGTTTGGAAACGTCCCTGACGGATCGAATGTCTTTTTTGTCAGTTTTAGAAATGTCCAGGTTTTTAATGACAACAAATTCCAAATTTTCTCACAATGCGAGTAAACGACTTCACTGTATCCTTATCCTGACTGATACCTTTGCACAATGAGATACTTTGACCCATTGTAATCATTTCTACACAGAAAATCAGATTTATTTCAGGTTTAACTGAAACTGATGACTGAGGAAAACTGAACACTGAAGTCGATTAAACTTTTTCTTCAGCAACGTTTAAAAGTTTATACATTTTATGAAACAGATTTTTCTCTTGATCTTCTAAAAATTTGTTTGCTTTTCATCTGAATTGTACATTATGTCATATGGGAAAATGAATTTTCCATGAAAAACCTGACTTTAACAAGGACGCAGCTGCAAGTTTTACATTCCCTTCATTTCAGGAAAACGTTTTATAAATTATTTAAAAGTTTTGAACCAATTTAGACTTGACATAAAACAGTTGTTCCTTCCTGTTTATGGGTGGACTCTGTTCTCAGTCCGATCAGCAGGTCTCTTGTTCCAGCCAAAACAGGAGAAGACGGTTTGAAATGTGATTCCACTGATCAATAGATGACATCATGCGGCTACATCCGTTTGTTTCCAGCAGCCTGAAGCTTCCAGTCGATTTCCGTCCCAAAACGCTCCGTGCCGTCTCTGCCTGCATGGCTGCACAGGAACAAACTCTGATCATCTGTGACGTTCTGCTCTCGCTGACTCTCGTTTGAGTCGTTTTATTTCAGGAGCGCTGCGTCTCTGCAAATAATTGATCTTTGCTAAATTGTTCTCTTCTTTTATTGTCAGGATTATTTTACTGGAGGTAATGAAGCTCCCTATCAATTATTAACTTTGACAGAAGTATTGATCATGATAGGCCACACCCTCCAGCCTCCATCACAAATACAAATCACTGGAACAACAAAGGTTTTGCTCGCATGGAAACAATAATCTTTATCTTTATAAACATTCTTCATATTTTTAATCCAAATTAGAGACAGACAAGAGGAAACAGACTTACCGTTTAGATCTGGTTCAAATCTTCTACTTTTACAGATTAGAGTCACATGAAGAAGCAAAAACAGGCAGAAATCTACAGAATCAGCTGATAAAACCTTCCTCCCACTGCCTGACCAGAGAAACCAGTAAGAGGCATCGCCACCGATTCCCACTCAGCAGCCCTCTGCCACCTCCTCTGCTTTCTCCACCTCCTCCGAGGAAACCAAGACCGCCGCAGCCTCACCGCCTCGCAGCACGGCTGCGTCCTGATGCTGCAGCAGGCAGACAGGAAACCCATTAACCCTGACCCCTGACCCTCGACCCAAAGGAAACTAAAACCACCAGGAGACTAAAACCTCCTGGAGACTAAACCTGTGGAGACTAAACCTGTAGAGACTAAACCCTGTGGAGACTAAACCTGTAGAGACTAAACCTGTAGAGACTAAACCCTGTGGAGACTAAACCTGTGGAGACTAAACCTGTAGAGACTAAACCT